CGAAACATTCGAAATAATGAAATTCGAAAATACGAAATTCGTGTTTTTGATAGATTTCCAATCATGACAGCTGGTCGCTATTGTAAAAAAAGTGCGGACGATGATGGCAAGACTCGCAAAGAAACAAACACGGCCAGTTAACCTTCACCGTTACTTCTACATAATAACTCCAGAAACTACACTACAAAAGTTGCAAATTGGAGCTCTTCGCCAATCTACACACTTACCCTTGGTGCCTACCATTTTTTCCGCAATTTAGACAATTATCTATGAGGAAAACAATTTATTTCCAGTCAAGCAGCCGAAAATAAGCTCGAAGACTTTGTGGATTCCCGTTCCCAACTAATATACCGCAAAAGAATAAATAAACTTCCAGTACGATGGTAAGGCGTAGGGGTATTGACAACGTAAAAGCGTATTGATCAAAAGAAGTGCAATTTTCCATAACATTTCTTTTTTGTTTCAATCGTAAATATAATGGAATTTTTGTACTTTAATGAATATTATGTAATGGGTTCGTTCATTCGTGGATTCGAATCCGGCCTCTGAGTTTTTCGAAGAAATTTAATTTGGAATTCACCATGCGCTTTTCGGTAATCGAAAACGTCATGAGGAAACCTGCATGTCGAAGAAGGTTCATAAACCTCGGAAAACGTGTGATGTCCCCAACGACAATTGGGCCAGTATGGCGTACTATAGCCTAAATGCTCGCCTGAGAGGAGACCCGCGCCTAGCGGTGGGACGTATAAATGAGTTGATGATAATGATGAACCCATATTACCGACCTGCGTGGTCGAGTGGCTTGCACACCGGTTTTCATGGTGTCGCCATCGCTGAGGTTCCGGCTTCGATCCCCGACCGAAAAAAATTACTTTTCTATATTATCTCAGTTCTGGGTGTTTGTGGTACCGTCGTTATTTCCGATTTCCCTAACAGAAGTGCTTTAGCTGCTTACTTTGGAATCACAGAAATGTGATTTTGTTTCACATTTAATTTATTATTAATATTTAATAATATTTTAGTAGCAATATAGCTCCTTGTGAAAGAACCTTGCTTTATTTCTGCCGCCAAGCAGTGATATCAGCATTGCTGTGTCCGGTTTTGAAGGGTAGGGGTGCTGGTGAAATTACAGGCACATGGGACTTGTCATTATAACTCAGGGTAACGGGCGATTTATAGTTCTAAGTGGCACTGTAACTGTTACGGACCGGCGTGTAGCTTACCATCAGGCGCACGACTTGTTCGTTCCGTCACTTGAAATTATGTGAAAAACACAAGTAAGGTAACTATATACAAACGTAGCAGCTCGGCTTGTATGTGTGCGCACTCGCCGCGTGTCGTGTACGGACGCACACGTTCGCATAATCTCGCGATGCATTCGCGTTGTATAGCGCTGGTCGTCCCAAACTCCTTTTATTGTTATGTGACATGATATTATAAAAAAAGCGATATTGTAGTAAAGGATGATAACCATTACTGCCGTCTTCTACTTAGCATGTCCAGCAAATTTATATTTGTAATTATTTTACATTAATTAATACTACATTTTTGGCAATAGTTTAAAACTTATCAAAGCAGCAGTTTCTTTTGAATAAAAAAAAATTTGTAATTCTGTTGCGTTTCCTATTCAGTGAAAAGATTCAGAATCTAGGTCTTATGTGCTTAAAAATGCGCCATGCTTTTGGTCATGCCAGTTTAATGTTAGTGGATGCCTCCATATTGCACCGGTTATAGTCCATTATATTTAAGTTCGATAGCAAAATTGTTCGCATAACAGCTAATTACTAGATACATTACGCGGCATAATGATATTCTCCACTTAATACAACAAAGGACATTGTGTGAAATCAAATTCCCCGCAACATTGTTTTCATATACAGCATCAACCAAAAATAATCCTCTACTGAAAGTTTGTTTACATATAATAAGAAAATAAAGCCGCTAACAACATAAAAGTCATTTCAGGACCTCCCACTGCTAAGTACATTAGTGGAAACATAAAAACAGCCCGCGAGATGTTTGCTCTCTAATGTACATTTTATTGCTATAATAATACATAATGAAGAGTGATCGTTAAATAATTTATTTTTGTGCTGACGATTAATGAATACATGCATAACGTAGTGGAGTTCATGTTAAAAATATATCGATATTTTTTCCGATGTACCGGTGCAAAACATCGATATTTACGATATATCGTAAATAATTCAAAAAGATAAAAGGAAGGAAATTTTACTAAGAGTAAATAAGTAAAACCACCAGTTTTGACACAAGAATCAAATAAATGTATATCTTATTCTTATGTTCTTATTGGCTAGTCGCACACATACAATATTACTGACAATCCAAGTTTATGTATACTCCCAACACAACAATATCGCCCGCACACAAGCAATTATTGTCAATGTTATTGTGTGTGTGCGGCTAGCCTATGAGAACAGAACCACTGCGTTACACTGACGGATGACCAGGGAATCAGCGCAGCGCTCGAAATGCGTTTTGTTTCTGCAAATTCAATTTTGAATTGTGTACTTTCAACTTTGTACGAATTTTCATGTATCGGATAAAACATATCGATAGTACATAGCGATACCCAATTATACGATAATATCGGATTGATACGATATATCGAAGGCATATATCGATATTTTTTAATATCGATATATGTCGAGCACTCCTAGCATAACGTTCACAGACTTGTGATGAGATTTTTACATTTTGCTAGTACATTACTGGAGATATAAAACAAGACTGCAGAATGTTCTCACTTTTGTACATTTTATTGCTATAATAATACGTAATGACAAGAGTACTCGATAAATGATTGGTTTGTATTGACATTTAGCAAATAAACCAAATACAAAGACAGACAAAGACACCGTAGTGTGACATTATATTGTTTTTGTGATCAATATGTTATTAAGTTATTATATGTATATTGTAGGAAATTCTGCATAAATTCAGTATGCTCGAATAATAATACATTGTTCTACATTGTTATTCACATCAGCATTTCCCTCTATTGTAAATAAAATTATTCCTAAGACAAAGTATAGCCGAAACGGCCAGTGTATTTACAACCAACACCTCCAAGCCGCTTAGTTAAAATAAGGAAATACTTTGGTGCCGCAGTTATTCTTCGCTCCGCTTTGGTAGATATCATAGTATAATAAAACAAGTAATAGTATAACTCCATAACGTAGCAGCGCGACTCGCATGTGTGCACGTCTGCCGCGCGCCATGTACGGACGCACACATTCGCATAATCTCGCGGTGTTCCCGAGTTGCAAAGCGCGGGTTCCGCGCGCCATTCATTGTAAAATTGAAGCGTTCGCTCGTTATAAAATATTTAAAATATTTTTTATTGTCAAATAGATTTTTATTTTATTTATAAATGTATCGTTGTGTAACTCAACCTCGCATTTCATTTCTATTTCATGATCCCATAATCTAGATACAAATCCGTGCTGCTGATATAAAAATATCAATATGTTGATACTGCATTTGACAAAGGTTATTTCAATAGCACTAGAGGACTGTAATTAATACCTAATTTTGTTTAAGATATCAAATGACGGGACGAACAAGTCGTGCACCTGATAGTAAGCTACACGCCTGTCCATAACAGTTGCAGTGCCATTTAGAGCTTTAAATCGCATAAATCTGAGTAACATAAGTTGACAAGTCTCATGTTCCTGTAATTTGAACCATGTCACAATCCTACACTCCAAGAGACGCGTAGGGATTTACGCGTCGAAAAGGCGAGAGTTACACTATTTGTCCTATTGTACTATGTAGATTTATATTTATTAAAATTTATATTTATTCTGCATTCAAAGAACACTTATAATCATTAGCAAGTTTCCTATACCGTTTCATTATCACTACTAGTAATAAACGGCAAGCTGTACTGAGATTATATATGTCTTAATGAACTAAATTTAGATGTCGAGCGTGTAGCGGACTTTATAAATTAAGACTGGGTCCACATTTGTATCACACGATCGCATATAAATTTCCCATGATACGCGTCGGTGACATGCGTGGAAGATCTGTATCTCTACCACGACTTCATAGTGCTGATCATTGCTAGCGTCTGCGATAAATATACATCGAGAACGTTAATTTTATTTTGTGGCCGTTAGAGGAGATGCGTAATCTGCCATACAAAATTGTGAATTTGACATAGTCGTTAGCAGCAGCTACGGACACCGTAAACTCGCGGTAGATTAACATTCTTACACTAGCGTCACTGTACAATATCCCCTAGTTTGCCACCTTTATAGGTGGAATATTTTTATGGGACAAATTTAAATGGGAAACAAGAATTTGTTAGGGCTAGTGTGTTTTAATAACTCGACGTTTGTAATTTTTACCGCGTGCTACATACAACATACAAACACATTTGCGACGAAATAGATACAACGATAACCTATTTCTTGTATGAATAAATGTCGCTTCACAACACAACATTTACGGATTATACGGATGCAAATGGTTTGGTTGGTTGGTTGCATTTTGACGCATTATATCAGAAATGCAAAATGCCAGATTCGCTGGTATGGCAAAATTTTTTAAACGGATTGTCAGCTTCTTTCATATATTATAAAAGGCACAGACGCATGCAGCCACAATGTATTAGATATAAAATAAGTTATTTCTATTCTCTAAATACAATAGAATTTCAATTCACAAAATAAATTTAGTAAAATATAGTTAAATTGCAAATGTTTAGTTTTTTTATACTTCAAGTTTATGTAAAATATACGTACACATTTTTAGAGCTTGGCATTATTTTTCGTCTTGACGTAAAAAATCGTAAAAAAAAGTCCGTGGACATTATTTAGGACATTACGGTCGACTTTGCCTGCATATCATAACTCTGTTTAAGAGCTAGTGTGATGAAAAGATATATTAGAGTTTGAGATGTACTGATATGCAAGGATGATGCAACAAGGTGTAGCGTATACTTGCTTTAACATTTTTATTTTCTATTGCAGCGTCGCGTATTCGATACGAGATCACGAGCGGGAACATAGGTGGCGCGTTCGCCGTCAAAAACATGACGGGCGCAATCTATGTCGCCGGCGCCCTCGACTACGAAACCAGGAAAAGGGTATGACATTCTATTTACATATGTTAACCGAACACGCATATAGATATTTTATATTTAATGTAAAACATTTGGCCCATTCAGGGCCCCAAATAAAGCTAATAACTAATTTTAAATCAACTCCATTATGTATTGAAAGAGTGAGTGTCAGTGGCAGGATTTTGTACGTTTGGTATTCTACTAAAAGTTAAGGGTAGTGGCATGCCAGTAGCTAGCCATCGAGCAACTGTTGAACTGCCATTGCAATTTTTTCATATTCTGCTTTTCAATTTCGATACCAGCTTTGATAGCGTTAGTCTACTGATTATTTGTTATAAAAAAACATATTTAATTTGAATACTAAATTTCTGATTAAACGAGATAAAAATTAAGACAGTCATAGTAATGTCCAAGGTAATTTTAATATGTAATTGAATGAATGAATGCCATCATTGCCATTCCACTGACACTCTACTGAGACTCAACTGCCATTGTAAATAGATTTTAGCAGAATAATGAATATTATACATAACATAATAGCTCTTTGAAATTTTCGCGTTGCGTTGTATTAACATTTGAAAACGATAATAAACGCATTTATACAATTTAATAGATATATATTTTTACACTTACTTATTTTCTCGAAATTGCGGTTAGGTTGCACTAGCCGTGGTCACGGCGTGACGTGGCATGATCGTGGTCAATCAGCCCGTGACCACGCCCAGTGCAACCTAGCCGCAACGTCGGGAACATAGGTAGATGTGAAAATACTTACTAAATTGTTTAAACGCGTTTGTTCTCTTTTCAAATGTTGTCATCATAATTGTAATATAATCTCAGAGGAGTGTCAATGGAATTACAACGCTAGTGTTTTCAAGAAAATTAGCTGACTTTGAGCCCTGTACACCGCAGTACCAGGTGGCAACATCATCAGGGTTGTAGGCAGGCAATGACACTCCAGGGTTAGAACAAAAAAGGACGAGTCTAGTGTCCCTTAAGGGGAGCGTTCCCATTATGTAGTGACGACAGATAGTCGTGCAATTTAAAGTGGCGTGTCTTGTATACTTAAATGCAATTGTTCACATATAGTACAACACGATTAATTGTCGTTCACGACCTTTTTGACGTTACGACGACAGACTGTCGTGAAAATGGGAAGTGCTAGAACGACAGTCATCCGATAATAAATAAAACGTCACGATAAAAATGTGACGACAGACAATCGCAGTCTCAAACGTTTCTGTCGTGCAAACGACATGGCGGCTGCCGTGAACCGATACATTGTCATCACGATCTACTGGGAATGGCTACACACGACAGACGTTCAACGATAAAATAAACGTCCACGATACAGTCACGTCAGATAGTCGTGACTACGTGAACAGACTAGCCGCGACGATAAATAAAGTGTGACGACGTGATGGGAAAACGCCCTAAGGCTTTTTTTGTATGTAGAGGTAACATACAAAAAAAGGTAAAACAACTTAATACTAATAGTGTGTACACTTTGATAGTGCGAGGCAGAATACTACTACCATCTAGAATATGTAATTTATACTTTTCTAATTATTACATTGTACAAGAGTAATTAATTTTCAACATTGAAAAGGTTACCTTTTCAATAGGTATAACGTGTGTAAAGATAACTCGCTCAAGGTAATTTTTTTATGCAAAAAATTGGAATTCATCACCGTATCGCGTTTTTTTATCAGCGTGTAGACAGTGCCCAAATTTGAGTTCATTTATCAAAGTGTGGGCTGTACTTAAATTCGTAAACGACGATAGGCAATTTCGTCGGTAAAAGTGCCACGAAACAAAGGTCGCCATAAGGTCGATTTTACTTACGAATAAAAACAACTAAAAATAGGTTCCTTGATAGAGTTGTTTCGTTTGATCAATATACATAGTAGTGATAAAATCCATAGACGAAATTTGTTCAAACCTTTATATAACATCCCTGTTCAACTAATTAAAAGCGATCGCTAAACCATCCAAATTTCGAGTTTTCTAATAATAATTACTTAAAAACATAATTTTGTCGGCTTCTTTGAAATTATGATTTATGTGTTAAATAGAAACACGCATAAATATTCGTCATTCGGTGGTCTAGCTAGATTTTAGTAACAAGAGCGTTTGGTGAGAAGGTTCCATGTTAGATTCCAGGTAGCTACTTTTGGAAACGATATCATCGCTGGATTACATCAGGGAAATCTAAACAATCGATCTTACAGATGAGTCACAAAATATTCGTCAAATTATTAGACGATGATCAGGAATCAATTTCGAGGAGTATAATTTATGCTGATTGTAAACTGGATGGGACTGTTTGGTTTTTTTATGATATCAAATGACTGAACGGATAAGTCGTGGGCCTGGTGGTAAGCGACACGCCTGTTCATAACAGTTGCAATGCCACTCAATGGTTTAAATCGTAAAGATCTGGGGGCTGCCACTGCGCCAGTCAGCGCAGAGGCGCGCAGCAGCCGGAGGCGCTAGCACGGTGCCCTTTGAACTAGTCGCTACAAGTCTCGCGCGACCTCCTGGCTGCTCGCAGTATCGCACCATACATTGTATCATTTTATCAATTTCAACTTTTTTTTTTAGAAAATAAGATTCAAAATACTAAGTAATACTTTGTGTGACTTGACTCTTGACTGAAGGCGCCTTCCAATTACACGCGCGCTTATAGAAGCGCTGCAGTGTCTGAAAGTGCAGTCGCAGCGCCACCGCTGTGTCATGCTCATCTTACTTTTGCAGTAACAATTAGTGAAGTAATAAGTTAAGCGCGGCTGCTACGTCACAGTTGCGCCACAGCATCATTTCTATACGCATCTAATTTGAAGGAGCTTATAAAGTTTACAAGTCCCATGTGCCCGTACTTTATCTACGGCGGCAGAAATAGGTAAGGTGGCATTACTTCCCTGGACGAACTCTTTCGTAAGAAGCTCTACCGCTACTAGCTTTTGTTACTTGAATGAATAAAATTAGGATAATGCATAGAAAAAGTTCCATGATCAAAACAAAACATAAATTACTAAACTTTTTTAATGGCCTTCCATTAATCTAATTTAAGTAAAATTGTATTCGACACAGAAAAAACGATTTCCTTGATTAAATCCTTGGATTACTTGTTTGAACAAATAGCTTTCAATAAGATCCATTCACAACAATAACACCTTACGTACTACAACAATAGAGCAATAGTCATTGTCCTTGAAAATGCCTACAAGTAAACCATTTGCGTTCTTTTATTTGTTCGTGTGGTGCCCAAACACAATGTTCCGAACCGTGTAACTAAAGTTCTCATTCCCCTCACCATCGAAATTCATCAATAAATATGTGTGCGACTTTTACGCAATTAATTTTGTGCTATACAACTCGGCAGTCTGTCTAATAACAGGTGATTATTAAAACTCATTATGTATTTACTACTTTATGTTATATTTTAATTTCTAGTTTTTTTTTAAAAATATAAGTGCGCATTTGACCCCCATCTCACCTGATGGAAAGTGACGATGAGGTCGACGATGGAGCATGCACACCTAAATAATGCCTATTCACGCTCGCCTTGAAAAGACCAAAGTTATAACGTTCAGGGAACAAGTCTGCAGGCAAGGTATTCCACTCCATAGCCGTTCGCTATATAAATAAAATATTACTAAAAAAAATGTATTAGTAGCATTAGCCTTTTTCTTTTTCATTAGCCTTGAAATTAGAGGCTTATAGACGCGCTGCACAGTGGCTTGACAGTGGCGCGGCTTCCGTGTGTACGTGTTACTTCACTAATTGTAACTGCTTGAAAAGGGGCGCGCGTGTATCACGTCAATGGCGCTGCAACTGCGCTTCTAAATATTGTATGAAAATTAGTAGTGACGCGCCACTGCAGGGCTTCTATAAGCGTCTAATTTGAAGGCGCTTAGAGCTATTTGTGAAAGAGTTTGTCTAGGGAAGTACTGACACCTTACCTGTAACTGTTGCCAAGCAGTAATGTGAGCATTACTGCATTCCAGTTTTTTGGTGAAGCTACTGACACGTGGGCTTTGATACTTTATGTTTGATACTTCCCATGACAGGTGCAGGTTGTTGTGCCCCTCAGATCTTTGGGATTTAGAGTTCTAAGTGACAATGCAACTGTTATGGATAGGCGTGCCGTTTACCACTAGGTGTATGACTTTTTCGTCCCATCACTTTCTATCACAAAAAATATTATGAGTATATAGTAAATGTAGGGAAAATAGTGACACCCGATCCCTAGATTTTGGTTAGGAACTAAGAGAAAGCCTCTGAAATTCTCCAGATGAAATCTACTTTTTATTTTCTTAGGCACTCAATTCCTTTGTAATAGTGCCACGTGATTATGTTAATAATGATGAAATTGAAAAAAAAAGGGTCTCCTCGAACATTATGGTCTTGATTTTATACTAAATTCATTCCTTCAATATCTGATAATTAATGGTGAAACGGAAGAAGAATTAATCGCTGAAATTTTACGAAAATTGCCAATATACAAAAAGAAATGCTTTTAAATCTTTTAAATATTCCGGCTAGTCGAAAGATGAAGCTCTCATCTTTTTTATAGAGATGGATCGGAACAAGTCACCGTATGAGATTACGGGAAAATGTTTAATATTAAGGAAGTGCCTGTTGTTTTCATGTTACAAATAAATCTAAGAAACTAAACGAATGTGCAATCCTCTCAGAATTCAGCATAGAATTAATAATATCACTCCAAAAGTAATAGTTATAAATTCGTAAATCACACTACACGAAGAATTCTGAAAATCAACGCCATTAACAAAATTGGTTTAATCCACTTAAATGTTGTATCGTAAAGGGAGTTGTGATGGATCATGCGGACAAAACGAGTACAAGCAAGCCATGCCTGAAGAAAGTGAACCAATGTCCGATGAAAACTTATGTTTTTATCTGTAATGGCATTTCTCAAAATGGTTGATAGTACAAATGAAAGTGTGTGGGAAAATCCAGCAATACTATCAGAAAGATTTAGCCGTCCAATTTCTTTT